AGATACTTTAAAGTTGGAATTAACAGACAATATTTATTAACAGACAATATTTATTTTAGAAAATAAAATGATGGTTGTTTTAAGCCACTATGTTTTGGAATGCTCTGTTACATGACATAGCAATAAGCAACTGATACAACCTCCAAAGAGAGATGTTCTTCTGACTTTTGGATAAAGGTCTTCAAGCACTTGGAGAAATGAGCCTAGTGGACAGGTCTAAGCTGGAGATGTGTGTTCAGGAATCAATACATAGCAACTGAGCCATGGAGAGGATGAGAGGCCTCAGGAAAGGCCTTAGGGGGCCATTTTGATATGGAAGTACTTCACCCTTCCTAGTGATAACAGGAAGTGATAACATAGTATATAAGTTATACCAGGTCTAGCTACTTTAAAAAATTTTTTTGTAGAGAGGTGGGTCTTGCATTATTTGCTCAAGCTGGTCTTGAACTCCTTGCCTCAAGCAATCCTCCTGGTTTGGCTGACCAGAGGGCTAGAATTATAGGTATGAGCCACAACACCCAGCCAGTTTTGGTAGGTGACCCTCTGCATGCTTCTCCTATATTACTTTTCCTCTGTCTTTATTTTCCTCATCTCAAACATTCCAATCATCACTAAAGGTCTCCCTCAATTCTATCATCAACCACATTAGCATTGCTCAGCTTCATTTCCCTCCTGAAGCCCATTCACTTGGGCTTTCTTTCTTGGAAATTTAAATAAGGCAGCATTGCTCATGATTTCCATGTTTTTATTACTTCTGAAAAGTAACCTGCAGCTTATTTCTATTCACCAATCCCACAAGACGGCAATGTTAGGATTTCATGTCAATTTCTCCAAAATCCATCTCACTCATGTACAGTTGACCTTTAAAAAACATGGGTTTGAACTGTGCAATATGAGTTTGAACTGCACAACACAGGTTTGAACTGCCAGGTCCACTTATGTGATTTTCTTCCATGTCTGCCACTCCTGAGAACCAAGACCATCCCCTCCTCCCCTCTTCCTCCTCAGCCTATCAACATGACAGTGAGGAAGATGAAGACCTATATGATGATCTACTTCTGCTTAATGAATGTATTTTCTCTTTCTTATGATTTTCATAATAACATTTTCCCGCAGATAGCTGACTTTATTGTAAGAATGCAGTACATACACATAATATACAACATATGAGTTGACTCTATATTATCATTAAGGCTTCCAGGAAACAGTAGGCTATAAATAGTTAAGTTTTGGGGGCGTTAAAACGTATGTGAAAATTTATGACTCTATGGCGGACTGGACCCCTAGTCACTGTGTAGTTAAAGGCTCAACTGTACTTTGTTATTTAGTGTTCCCCCGTGGATTTGTTTGTTTACTTTCTCCATACATTTCCTACGCAGGGACACACCCCACACACTCTTTTGCATCTCACGTCTATTAAAAGCAGCCTGAGGCTCTGCACAAAGGCTGTTTGTAGTGGGTGGCAGTAGGCAGTTCTATGGAAATACAAAAGAAAGTTTTTACTCTGAGAAGAAAACAAAGATAGAATGAGAAGATTAGGGAGGAGCAGAGCAAAATGGCAGAACAAGATGCCCCAAGTCTTGTTAACCTGCAGAAACATCAGTATGAACAACTACCCATGCATGAAACTAATGAAAATACCTTCACAAGAGTTGAGAAAACCAGATGAGAGATTACAGCACCTATGTGCAACACAGAAATAAGAAACACATTGAAAAGAACAAGAGGAACAGTTTTACATCATCTTTGCAAATCATCCCCCAATCCCAGACAGCACAGTGTTGAGGGAGATATCATATGCCTTGGGAAAGGAAAAGGAAGTGAGTGCCAGACATTGTCCTGGGGCCAAACAATGGGCTCATCCCCTTCAAAACCCAGTGCCAGGCCATCCCCCATGACCCCAGATTCCCAGCTGGTACCTGGCTGTCTTCTCCGGTCTGGCTACTCCTCATTCTCCTCCTTCCTTCTCATTTTTCTGCCCATTATTCTGCCACTAAACATTTCTACCAATTCTGTGAGCTTCTCTCCCCTGAATGTTCTTGTCTCCTGTGTTACTTTTTCTCTTTTCAACACGATGCTCCTAATCTCTGTCCCCCTTTATTTCTATGTTCATCCTCTTTGACTCTGTCTTTCTAGGTATTTTGTATACTTCACAGCTGGCTTCATCCCTACTCTCTCTGTCTCTTTGTGATTTTTATTTTTTCCTCTCCCCTATATCCAAAATTACTGCTGAGATATTTTTCTTCATATTAATTAGTTAAGTAGTATTACAAATTATTCTTTGAAGACTTTCTGAGTTTGTGGCTAATGACAATATTGTCAACACATAGATGAATACTCTGCTTACAGTGTTACATCAAACACAAAGCGTGGTGGTAGAGAATACACACATTATTCCAACTCTTTAGCACTAATAAATATAATAATGTATAGTACAAAAGACTGTCATTCTACTAACATATTTTTGTTGCATTTTCAATGTATGATTTGATTAGACCCATTCAATTAACCATTTTTAATGCTTTCCTGATACCTTAATTTCTCAATGGGGCCAATAAGGATAAATGCATAAAATGATGTGCTAGAAGTTATAGAATCAAGACATAAGGAGAATGTTCAGATAATTCATCAGGAGAGCAGAACTCTAGATATTCTAGACCTAGAAGTCACAACTCCAACGTTCTTACCTAGTGCAGTCTGATATGGTGAGCAAGTACCTTCTTGGTCCTCCTCTCCTTCTATAGATTTGAAAGGATCATCAATATCGATCACTGCACAAAAGAACAGAATTCTTCAGGGGTCTCGGTGTGTGACCAAGGACATTCTCTTATAAGAAAATTTGGAGAAAACTTGAAAATCCACACAAGTCTTGGTCTTCACCCAGGACGAGCTGGTTCCCTTCTAAGTTACCTGCCTCGTAGGTTAGTGGTGCTCCATTCTTGTTCCCACAGGCAGAGAATTCCCTGGCAAGGGGCAACTTTGCTTTCCTAACCTTTGCTTTCCTGTACTGCTCTCTATTAATTCCTACCCTTTCTCCTTGTTATTCCATATTTTCTTCATCTCAACCTCTCTTCCATGCAAGGAAACCTTGAAGATCTTGTGTGGAAGGTGGTAAGCCTTGTCTACCCATCCACCATCCTCCCTCATCTTAGTGTCTCCTTGAACTCTTTACAATGCTGAGAAATCATCTTCTTTCATATTTGAGCCACAGAAACATTTGAGGAATGTTATTATTGGTGAGTTTGCTTACACTAAGATAAAAGAGTACAGACTGCCTAAAATAGGAAGCAAATTTACATTTTACTTTGAAAGATACAGTAAGCAATTAGAATAAATGTATTATTGGGCAGTGCCTGTTTTATTGGCTGGCTCAGAGGAGTAGGGCACCGGCCCCATATGCTGAAGGTGGCAGGTTCAAACCCAGCCCCGGCCAAAATAAAAAAAAATTATATATATATGCATATACATATATGCATATATATATATGAATAATACATGTATTATTTAACACATTGTTCTTTGCGATATCAAGATCCGGCTACATTTGTATTTGTTCTTAAGTCTTTTCCTAAGTCATTTTCCCTAAAATGACATGTTTCTGATATCCTATGGATCTGGTAAGTAAAAAGGGAAAACAAATCACTGATTTGCACACTAAAGAGTTATATGACAACTCATGCAGCAAATATGATTGAGATAACATGGTATTTTAATAACTGTTTCTATCTCTCATATCACAAAGGAGAAAACTCAGAATCCAGAATACTGGTCCTCTTTTTCCGTTAATTTCCTATGAGTCTTGTAAATGACCTTGAAACATTATGTGATTGTGTTTTTGCATCTAGACAACAAAGTTAACACTAGCTATATTGCTTACTATCTATGGTTCTTGTGAAGAAAAAAATACTAGTTGCAAAGGTCTTTTGAAAAATCACTCTATATACTATGATCTACCAAAGAACTCTGAAAAACAATACTTCCGGTTTCAGAATATTTTATTTCAAGTCTTTATTTCTGCTAACACTAGATAGCTGGATGAACTGTCTTCTGATGTTTACCAGAGTCTATGATCAGATGACAGCATGAGCTTCCCATAAAGGAATTTTCAGCTTTCTGTTCTATATAGAAATCATTATATACATCTAACACTTTATAGGTACATTAATTAGTCAGTTTTAAAAATAAACTCATTACTTTGCTAGCCTATTTCTACTATATAATCAATGTATGGGCATATATATTGACTAATCAATTAAAGGCTAATACACAAAAATTAATTTATGACAATTTCTTATCTTCTTGCATTTCCTAAAAGGTTGAAGTGAAATAAATGCAGAGAATGAAATTCCAGGATAAATTGGATCCACTGTAGAGAAAGGACTCAGAATATAATCCATCAGGAAATAGTAACTTCTAGTTCAGATCTCTGCACCCAAGGCTTGCTCTCCCAACCTTCCTTACCAGGATTCTTTTCTGCTGATAAGATGGATGTTTCCAAGGGCTCACATTCATCACTGGATTCTTCAGAGTCATCATCATGGATAACTATGCAAAAGAGCAAAATCCATTAAAAGTCTTGGTGTGTGACCAAGGAGTCTACACCAGGAAATCCCACAATAAGAGCCGTAGGGGCCAGGCACAGTGTCTCGCACCTGTGATTCCCACACTATGGGGGGCCCAGGCAGGTGGATGCCTTGGGGGTGGGAGTCTTAGTCCAGCTTAGGCAAAATAGGGGGACTTTGTCTCTACAGCAAATTAAAAAGTTAGCCAGGAGTGTGGTGCATACTTGTAGTCCCAGCTACTTAGGAGGTTGAGGTAGGAGGAAGCTCTTAAACCAGAAGTTTGAAATTATAGTGAGCTATGATCCCACCCTACAAACTACAGCCAGGTTAATAGAGTAATAGAAAAAGACTCGGTCTCAAAAAGAAATAAAAATAAAAATAAAATAAAATAAAACCAAAAAAGGCACTAGTAAGACCTGGGAAGCTAAGTTATCTCATGGTTCTGTTCTGTTCCTTGAATGAATGTTACCTATAGGTTGTTCCAGGTCATAAACCAAAAGTGGATAAAATTTACACACAAGGGCAGCTTTGCCCATTCATTGGCACTGTTTACACTCCCACCCTTATTCTACTTTTCTCTCCCTCTCATTTTATTTCTTAACTTTCCTCTTGTTTCTGCCCATGTCCCCTGCTTCTATCTCTGCTCCTGGGATTGCTATCTCTTTATACCTCTCCTCGTCTAATGGATTTTTTCTCCATCTCCTCATGTGAACATCTTGACTCCCTGATTTACTTTCCTTTTCTTTAAATCATCCCTTATGCCTTCCTCTCTTCCTTTAGAAATAGCCTCTCGGACATCAATACTTATCACCTCCATTTTTGTCTTTGGATATTTTCCCAATTCCTAAAGACTTTCTTCATTAAGCTGAGAGCTCACTGTTTAAGGTACTGGCCTCCTCCCCTTCCTGCCTCTATCCAGGCTGCCTAGATTGCCTGGATGGACCCTGATGAAGAGACAGAACTCCTTAACAAGTAACCTATGATTCACAGCTATAAATTTGTCCTGTCAGACTTACCTATTATGTCAGATGCCTGGGTATGCTTAGTTCTTGCTTGACCTTTTTGCTCAACTTCTAAGTTAAAAAATGGCTCTTCCTTCTTTATATCCACCACTTGACACACAGGACAGAAATTCCTTTGGAGTCCAAGGCTGGGTAGC